TGGCGCTGGATGGGCCTTCAGACCATGACAGCTGCAGACTGGTTTGGTTTGTTAGGGTTAACGGTATAAAACTATACACAGAAACGCTCAAGATCTGCTCCACACGGGGTTCACAAAAGCAGCCTATGGTTAAAGGAATGCTCCCTCTCTTCTTAAAATAATTAAAGGAACGGTAAGCCCGGTATTAGTTGGCTAGACAGAACCAAATCCCACCGCCTGGGTAATCCAGCTGAAAGCCAAGGCTATCAAGGCAAATTAAAGCTGCCTTTAATCCAGACTAATCTCCATACACGAATCCTTTATTCTCCGTTGCCTCCCGCCACCAGCCAGTGCTGCTGCTACCAGAACATTGGGGCAAAGCAGCATGAGGGTTATTGTTGCAAAAACATAAAAAACCCACGATTTTGGAGCACGGTTTCTTGAGACACACACACCCAGTACCCTGTAACGCTGCACGTAGCGTTAATAGTTGCATTAAAGCAGGACTCGGCTCTACGCTTGGCTTAATCTTACATATCCACACACATAAATGAGGACAATTTGTGCATAAATTAGTATCATTATGCTAACTAGGACAGTATGATTGCACAGAGTGTTTGCAAGCCGCCGCGATCCGCCGGGCCCGTGTTGAGGGCGAGCTGCTACGGGCGACAACGGTGACGTTGTGCTGCCAGGTACCGGGCAAGGGGATCATCAGCCCCTGCCCCAGAGCAAAGCCCAGACTGCGGAGGAGAAGGGGTGAGAAGATCTCCTGGGATTATCGTTGTGCCATAGTGACTTCATCCGAAATCCTTTTCCCTTCCTGTTCTCTCCTCTAAACGATCCCACTTCCCAAATGACTCTTCTCTCTAAGCTTCTCACCCTAATGCCCCATGTGATGCACAGGATAGACCGTGGCAGGGAAAGGCTGCTAGAAAAATTGACTGCTGCAGTGCAAACGCACTTGCAAAAAGGAAAAAAAAAAAAAAAAAAGACCTCAAATTCCCTGCACTTTGGTTTATCCATCCTTAACACGAGGAAATGAAATAATCCTTGCAAAGAAATAAAAAAAATCAACCTTCCTCCTTTCAGTCACCACCAGGATTACTGCAGCGATGGGGATGCTGACCAAGCTGCCGTGTTGAGGATCCCTGACAGCCCTTGCCCTGAGAGAAAAAAACTCTGAATCTCAGCAGCTGAATGAACAAGGACGTAGGAGGAACGAATGAAGCATCAAGCAGCAGCTTATCCTCCTTGTGCTTCATTGACAGCAATGCCCATAAACTACAGCTCTGTG